CCCCCTCAGTTGTCTCTCCCCCCTCACCCCCTCAGCTCTTTAGAAGCGCTGTTACGACATAGAACCTGCGGTTTCACTGCCTTCCTTCTCCACTGGAATAGGGAAAAGCACTCAGGGACAGGCACTGACTTGTCTCTTACTCCCTCCCCCCCATGTCTAGAATGTGTCCGACTCATAGGTACTCAGTAAATGTGTGGGATGAAAGAACTCAGTCCTCACAACATACTGGGAGGCATCTCATCAGACCTTCTGAGAGGGACCAAAGCCCCAGAGGTTCTTACCCGAGTCGGTCCGTGATGGCGTAACTGGCCTAGAGCCCTTGCCTACTTCATGTCCACCTGACGCTGAGGGGCCAGAATGGGAGCAGTTCCCATGATGGCACCTGCCGTGTCAGATCCAGCACCGCGTGTGCTTTTCCCGGTTTCCATCTCACAGTGGCCTTGTACACCAGGTGTAATTATTATTCCCAGTCTACTGGTGAATAAGTCAATGCCTGGAAAGCCTCCTTTGTGCACAGACTGGGGCTGGCTAACACTTTAGATCAGTACCTGGCCGTCTGCAATTTCAAAGCTCCAAGAACCATGTTAAAAAGATTAAGAGAACGGGAGTTTCTTTAAATTAAAGTGTATATGAGCAGTCTCAAAGACAGCTGACATGGTTTTGAACACTACATGACGCCAACCCAGAAGAGAGACATGGTCAGTTAGAAGAGATGCCTTCACCATGTCTCCTCCAAAGGCTCAGGAAACCACTCACAACAATGATCTAAAGAAAGTGATTGGTTTCAGATCCAGTACCAAGTGGATCTTCAGATCATAGTAACTTGAACAAGTTACTATGAGAACAATGGGGAGTAAACGGGTCTTGTAGAGTCTGTAGCGTGAGCAGAGGAAACTGCTGCAGGCAGAGGTGCTGCAGCGATCCTGTGTACATGACACTGTGAGATGCCAACAGCATCAGCTGGAAATGGGATCATTTCAGAAACCAGGCGGCAGAGCTTAGGAAAGAAGTGAAATAGAAGAAAAATCCTTTAGGGAATGAAGATTTTACTAGAAGGAGCAGAGGAGCAGTAATCATCAGAACTCAAAAATATATAACGGAGGAAAGTTTTTACCAGAATAAATAAGAACACAAATTATCATAGTACTTTGAGAAAAATGACAATATTTGAGAAGATGCAACAGGCAAACAACAGGAATCACTGAAAGGGACAATAAAAAGGCCGTGGAATGACATACTTAAAACTGTAAGAACAAGTTCATGAGACGCTGGAGAGATGGCTGAGTGCGTAGGAACCCTTTCTGTGTAAACAGGGGCCTGAGTTCGGATCCTAGCACCATGTAACAAGCTGATGTGACCGCATGTGCACCTGTAAGCCCAGTGCTGTGTTGGGTGGAGGCCGGAGGATCACTGGGGCTTGCTGGTCACCAGCCCAGCTCCAGGTTCAGTGCTGACCCAAGGGAATAAGGTAGAGTGACAGAGCAGGACACCTGACCTCCTCTGGCTTCCGCATCTGTGCACTTGTACACATGCACACCCATGTGGCATACACTACACAATATGCATCATGTTTATATACATACATATGCAGTCTCTGTCTCTCTGTCTTTCTGTCTCTCTCTCTCTCTCTCTCTCTCTCTCTCTCACACACACACACACACACACAGAGAAAATGTTCATGAAATAAAAGGTTCAGAGTTGTCTATTGAGAACTCATGAAGCTAGTGTCAACTGCAAATGACCAAGACCAAACATGTTCAAGGTAAACCACTGGATTATAAAGGAAACATATCTTTTGTGCATCTTGGCAAAAACCTTAAATGACTTAAAAGGGAAATAAAATTAGATTACCACACCTTTTCTCTGGATGGATGTCTGAAGGCAGGATGGGTCACCAGCAGCTCACTCTGCTTGTGTCTCCTCAAACTGCCAGGATCTGTCTGGAAATATGGGCTGCACATATCTGGGCAGCATTCCTGTCAGTGCTGAAGGACCTGGGCCTCATTAGATTGGACTAAGTAACCTTTCTTGAATGTATTATTGAGGACCAGATGCCCGGGAAAAGACCTTCTAGGTCAATGCATGTAGATTTCATTCATTACTTCTATTTTTTTTTTAATTAAAATGTTTCTGAGAGAGGGTCTCTGTGTTGCCCCAGTTGGTCTGGAACTCACTGTACAAACCAGGCTAACCTCAGTCTCAGAGATTTGCCTGCCTCTGCCTCCTGAGTGCTGTGGTTAAAGATGTGCACCATCACACCTAACTGTCATTCATTACTTTTAATAGCCGCATAATATTCCAATGTGTGAAGAATCATAATTGTTAAATCTCTTTTCCAGAATTTTGAAGCTACAGTTAATGGTACAATGTATAGACATATTGCTGTCTGTGTCTATGTTGGATTATGTCACCTAGGTCTATATATAGTCTTATGTGACAGTGCCACCATCAGGCAGCATCAGAATAATTGGCAATTTAGATTGTGATCTGTGTATCAAACAGCGTTGTTTCCTGAAAGTAATTTTGTTCTGAGTTTAAATATGAAGATGGTCTGTCTTTCTCTTAGGAACATTTAGAGGGGAACACATACATACCTGTATCTTTCAAATGGCTCTAAACAATGTACTACATGAGGCATACAGATAAAACATGGGGAGATGTGGCACTGGTCATGGGGCTGGGTGAAGGTGGGGTTCCTCTTCCTGTTTCTGCAACTCTTTCATAGGTTTGACATTTAAAAATCACATTTTATTTCTTTTGTGTGCTTCTGTGGGGGAATTGGGGGGATGGGTGCACATGTGCTACAGCCTGTGTGTGAAGGTCAGAGGACAACTTGAGGGGGTTGGTTCTCTCTTTCTACCATGTGAAGTTGAAGGGTTGGACTCGGGTCATCAGGTTTGGTCGCAAGTGTCTTTACCTGCTGAGCCCAGGTTTGCCATTTTTTTTTAAGTTAAAATTGAATTTTTATTGAGTTAACTGCCAGATTCCTTTCCCAACAGAACAAAGCAGATCATTAGTACTGCTGGTGTTTGTATGCTCCTGTGTGTGTATGTGTGTGTGTGTGTGTGTGTGTGTGCACGCACACACTCATGATGAGTGCATGAGGGCCAGAGGTCAATGTCAGGTGTCCTTCCCTATCACCTGTCATCTTGTTTTTGAGACAGTGTCTCTCCCTGGCCTGGAGCTGACAGATTAGGCTAGACTGGTTAGCCAGGGATCCCGGGATCCTCCTGTCTCCATCTCCCAGTACTCAGATACAGGCACATGCTGCCACATCCAACTTTTTACTTGGGTGCTGGGAATCAGAACTCAGGTCCTTGTGCTGTGCAAGCACCTTACCCACTGAACCATCTCCCCGGCCCCCTGGTATGTTTTGAGAAGAACATCTGAACACACTTTCTGACTTGTGGTTTGAACAGAGATCAGGATATTTGGATTGTGGCCCATATCTTCAAAGAAACATGATAGATCAGGTCACTGTTTAATAAATCTCCTGGAAATTGAGTCTTGAACTCTGGAGCTGATGGTGGGTTGGGAAGGAAGTCTCATCTTCACATCAGCCCAACTTTGGCTCTTTTCCTAAGTGACATTACAAGCATCCTGCCAGTCTCCACCAGACAGGAGGAAGATCTCCAAGGCTCCTGAGCTTTCGGCTCAAATCTGCTGTTTTCACAAGGCCTGTTCCCCTGTTCGCCACATGGAGAATTGAGCCAGATGTGGGGAGCATGTGGCCAGCAGTCCCAGTGTGTCTAGCAGACAGGGTGGAAGTCTTTCTGTACTGCCTAGGATGGAGCTCTGGGGACCATGGGTCTGCAGCACTCACTCCACTCAGGTCAGGCCCAGGGTATGCTGATGTCCTCTGCCCCTTGCCATTGTCGAGGAAACCAGGGACACAAGAGCTCCAGTTCCCTCAGGTGTCTCATTGATCCTGGAGCCATCTCCCATCAGTGTGCATGGTTCCATCAGTGACACAGCCACCCCGTGCCCTGGACAGGCAGGAGGCTCACCATGCAAGCTGCTGCCCATTTCCCTCTGTTTGACTCCAAGGATGGCACCCTTTGGCCGTGTCCTGTAGTTCTCAGCAATCCAGTAACCCTGGACTACCTTCAGATCATGCTAGAAGCTGACCACAGTGCTGTGCCTAATCCCTGACTGTGGTCACTGTGCATTGCCATTTCCTCTAGGGTTTTCTAGATACAAGAGTTTTTGATAGTTCAGTGTGATGACCTCCTTTTAGCTTTCTTTACGTAACTTTTTTAATTTTTAAAAGTATTTTTATTGTATGTGTATGTGTGTATTGCCTGCATGTAGGCAAGTGCACCCCTGTTGTGCAATACCTGCGAAGGTCAGAAGAGGCTGTCATGTCCCCTGGGGCTGGAGTTACGGACAGTTGTTCGCTGCCATGTGGGAGCTGGGATTCAAACCCAGGTCTTCTGCAAGAACAGTCAGTGTTCTTAACAGCTGAGCCATCTCTCCAGCCCCATCTCTACATAACTTTTGTGCATGGATATTCAACCACGCCAATGGGCCCCGATTTCCAAGCTCCTGGACTGCTTAGAACTGTAAACTTGCCTGCTAATACACGAGCCTGTCTCTGTAGCTGCACCCCCTGCACCCTGCCCCCCCACAACTTATTGAGTATTTGTCAAACACCAGGCATTCTGTATCCCTTATTTTGAATTTTTACCAAGATTCTGTAAAGTCGTCTGCATTTTCTAGATGTGGTCATTGAGACTGGGAGAAGTTGTCAGATGTCCAAGCATGTGTTCAGACACACCCCAGACCCTGGGAACCACAGAATCCCAGTATGTCCCACTGTACTGATTTGGCCTTCTGTGTTGAAAAGCACCCAAAGGCCTGTGACTCTCATTGTCTGGCCTATCATGGAGTCATGTGCTAGCTGTCACTGGCTCCTGTGTCTCACATGGAGGTTGGTAAGTCATGAAGTCACCCTGGCCTGAAAAATGGTCAGCAGCAACACCTTCCTGCCTGTCCTCAGACGAGCTTCCGATTCAGGCCTCCATTGATGATGCTTCTGCTGGCTGTGGGGAAGAGCCAGTTCTTTCCAGTCTGCTGAGGATTAAGACTAGAAAGAAAACAGCAGAAATAGGGTGGCATGTCAGGTTATTCTAGAAGTTTCCAGAGCTGGCTTTGAGCTTCTGTTCTGATCCCATCGAGGGTTGGTGTCATAATAAACAATTCGGGGTCCCAGACTGGTCTGTGGAGGCATCTCAGCAAAGTCTCTACCCTGTAATTTTGGGGAAGCACAGACTTAAGAAATGTAATTTCTTTGGGCTACTGTTTATTTAAATTTAGAGTAACAGATAGTGCCTCCATCATGCTAATTTTTAGATAGTGTATCTACAACTTTTTAAAACTACAAAAGTAACTCACACTTAAAACTTATAACATAAACATTTCCACACTAAAAATGTTCCCCTTACTCCCCGCCCCACCCTCCAAATAGCTGTGATCAATCCTGAAGTTGGAAGTTCATCTCACAATCACAAAGAATGAAGAGGAGGTAAGGGTGGGGCAGGTGTTTCAGAAATTTACCCCTGTCTCTCACCAACAAAAAAATCAAGTTGAGATGGGTTGCAGATTTAGATGTGAGACCTGAAACTGCCAGGAAAGAGCATTGGGGAAACTCCTGGGGAGGTTGGAACAGGAAGAGCATTGGAGAAACTCCTGGAGGTTGGAACAGAAAGAGCTTTGGGGAAATGCCTCAGGGTTGGAACAGGAAGGGCATTGGGGAAACTCATGGGGAGGTTGGAACAGGAAGAACTTTGGGGAAATGCCTCGAGAGGTTGGAATAGGAAGAGCATTGGGGAAACTCCTGGGGAGGTTGGAACAGGAAGAGCTTTGGGGAAATGCCTCGGGTTGGAACAGGAAGAGCTTTGGGGAAATGCCTCGGGGTTGGAACAGGAAGGACATTGGGGAAACTCCTGGGGTTGGAACAGGAAGAGCTTTGGGGAAACGCCTCAGGGTTGGAACAGGAAGAGCATTGGGGAAACTCTTTGGGGTTGGAACAGGAAGAGCTTTGGGGAAATGCCTCGGGGTTGGAACAGGAAGAGCTTTGGGGAAATGCCTCGGGATTGGAACAGGAAGAGCATTGGGGAAATCCTGGGGAGGTTGGAACAGGAAGAGCATTGGGGAAACTCCTGGGGAGGTTGGAACAGGAAGAGCTTTGGGGCAATGCCTCGGGAGGTTGGAGGAGCAAAAATGCACACAGTAGAAGAATGGGTCACATCAGAATACTAGACTGTCAGAGGAAGCCAGCAGGGTGAAGAAACAGCCCACAGAATAGGAGAAAATATTTGCAAACTATACATTTGATAAGAGGTTAAATCCAGAATATGCAAAGAACTTCAGAAAGCTCAGTAGCAAAAACCCCAAAGCACACCAAAACAAATAACTGAATTAATCAGTGGGCAGTAGACCTTAGTGGACTTTCCCAAGGAAGGCAAACAGATGGCCAACAGGAATATGAAAAAACGCTCACCAACAGTAGTCATTGGAAGACGGCAAATCAAAACCACAAGATGATCTCTGACTCCAGGAGAAACACTGTCTACAAAGGATGAAAGATAGGAAGTTGCTGGTGAGCGTGCAGAGAGGAGGGCACCCTTGTATGCTGCCGGAATGCATGCTAGCATAGCTGTTCTGAAAAACACGAGGAGGTTCCTCAAAATTAAAACAGGATTACCGTAAGACCCAGCAGTCCTCTATGGGGCATGTCTCCAAAAGGAGCAAAGTCCCCACTCCTCTGTTTATTGTAGTATCATCCACAACGTCCAAGAAATGGAGGCAAACTAAGTGGTTAAACCTACACATAAGGAAAATGTGGTACATTCAGATGCCAGGATGCTATTCAGCCATGAAAAGCATGAAATCTTGTCAATGGAGGCAATGTGGCTAGAACCAGATGCATATGTTAAGTGAAACAAGCACAGACAGACAGGTGCCATGCAGCCTCCCTCATACATGGAACATACAAAGCCCATTTCACAGAAGCCGAGGTGGAATGTGGGTTCCTGAGGCTGATCAGAGGAGAGACGTTCCAGTGTGGTGACTGTAGACAGCACCTTGTACTTTGTCTGTGAGAAGGCGGGGAGGAAGGATTCTGAACATTTCATCATGAAGCAGTGGTAAATGTTGGAGAAGGCAGATGTGTCTAACCTGATTTAAACAATACATACCACATACAAGTTCCAACCATCACATTGTTCCCAATGAATATCTAAAACACATATGTTTTCATGTATTAGTTTAAAAAGCCTCTGACACCTGTGTTTCTTTTCTGTTGCAGAGCCAGATCACATTGATGGACATCCCTGTGTTTAAGGCCATCCAGCCAGAGGTCTGTACCTATTGATACTTCATCCTCTTCCACTGGAGCTGGGGCTGGGAAGGGATGGTCCAGTCATTCTCAGTCTCTCCCTTGAGGCCACATAGAGTCATGTGATCACTTTAAGTCTCTTCCTATTCCTGTTGGTACCCCTTTCAGCCAGGACTGTGGGTTCTGCTGAGAAGTCCCTCTGCCTGGCCTGGACTGGCAGAGTAGACAGGCCCAATCCCTGAGTCTTTACTCTGCAGTGCCCTCCTCATCCTCGGCTGGCCTGACTGAGTATTCACTGTAAAGAAGGCATGGGAAGGGACGCTTTCTAGAGAGCTTTCTTTGTGCTGACCCTACATTCTGGCAGTTGCTTTACTTCTGGTTTTCAAACTAGTTGTCACAGCAAAACCCTTACATGTTTATATTAAAAGCATATGTACATATTTAGAAATAATAAAGTTGATTTTGGTCTTTAGAAATGAAAATTCTTTGGGGCTGGAGAGATGGCTTAGTGGTTAGGAGCACTGGCTGTTCCTGCAGAAGACCGGAGTTTGGTTCCCAGCACCCACGGCAGCTAACAGCCCTCTGTAACTCCAGTTCCAGGGGCTGTGATACCCTCTTCTGACTTCCTGGGCATTGCATGCACATGGTGCACCTACATACATGCAGGCAAAACACTTGTGCACATAAAATAAAAATGAATAAATTTTTAAAAAGAGAAAATTGCCAGGCGTGGTGGCACACACCTCTAATCCCAGCACTTGGGAGACAGAGGCAGGCAGATCTTTATGAGTGTGAGGCCAGCTTGGTCTACATAGTGAGTTCCAGGACAGCTGGGGCTACAGGAAGACCCTGTCTCAAAAAGACCAAAAAAAAAAAAAAAAAAAAAAGAGAGAGAGAGAGAGAGAATTCCTGAAACCATCTGGCAGTTGGTAAGGAGGTAATAGAAATCCATTTCAAAAAGCTGAAGGTAGAAAAGAAACTTCCCAGGGGGCCACGGGGCGCAGCACGGAGCTACCTGAGCCCAGAGCTCCTGCAGCTAGGAGAGCCCCAGGGCATGAACACCCCTACTCTTCCCCTCCCTCCCCTCTCTCACCCTCTCTTCTGCCTGCACATGTGGCCCAGTTTAACCAAAGAGCCCACATTTACAGCATCCCAGACCCATAGATTTGTGTCCAACCCAGCCTAGTCATGTGTCCATTGCTCAGTCACCTGAGGTCAAGAGGCCAGGTCAAGTTGAGCAGACCCTGTTCAGACATCTGGCCTTGAGGCAAAGTACAGGCAGGGAGACAGGTCAGAAAGGCCTGTGTAGCTGTGGTGTGGACCAGAATAGGCCCCACTTTACAGTGACGATGGCTGCCTCTGAGCAGAGCCAGAGTGTCCAGGCCAACCTTGAGCTGCACTCATACACATTAGAAACAGTCCGTACTGCTGGTTGTGAGGACGTGACCGTGGCTCCTGCTGGTGTGGGTGTTGTGTTCATTGGGTTTGTTTGCTGCTTTCAGTGGTGACGTCATCTTTTTCTGTTTCATCCTAATAAGGATCAATTCAATCTTCCTAATTCACAGCTCTGTCTCTTAAAGCTTGTTGGCTTGAGTGAAAATTGCCTTCTCTCTCTATTTCCTCTCTCATTTTTAAAAAAATATTTTTTTGGTTTTTTTTTAATTTATTTTAAAATTTTATGTGTGCATGTTATGCCTGCATATGTGTAAGTGCACCCGTGTTGTGCAGTACCTGCAAGAGGACAGAAGAGGGCGTCAGATCCCCTGGAACTGGAGTTACCGATGGTTTATAGCTGCCGTGTGGGTGCTAGAATTCAAATCCGGGTCTTCTGCAAGAACAGCCAGTGCTTGTAACTGCTGACCCATCTTTCCAGCCCCTTTATTTTATTTGTATGAGTGTTTTGCCTGCATGGGAGTGCATCCATGTCATGCAGTGCCCAAGGAGGACAGAAGAGGACATCAGTCCCCTGGAACTGGAGTTAGAGATGATTATTAGCTACCATGCAGGTGCTAGAAATTGAACTCAAGTCTTCTGCAAGAGCAGCCAGTGCTCTTAGCCCCTGATCCATTTCTCCAGTCCTTCTTAGTTTTTAAGACAGAGTCTTATGTATCTCAGGTTGCTCTTGAACTCACTGTATTGCCAAAGATGACTTTGGACTCCTGATCCTCTTGCCTCCACCTCCTGAGTGCTGGGATTGCAGGTATGCGCTGCCATGCCTAGCAACTGAGGCTGATTCTGATCCTGTTCTCTCGGGTTTGATCTGGAGCCCTTTAGACGTTTGGGACTTTGTTATTCATGCTGAATGTCAAGAATGGTGGCCCAGCCTACCAGGTGGCTGACCTCACTGTCCAGGCTAACTGTGGGAAGGAAATAGGGGTTGGGGAGCCCTTCCTCTCCAGAGAGTCAGCAAGAGTCAATGAGACTCTTTCTCAGAGGACTGCAGCATGGAGGGCACCTCACCATGGAGGGAGCCTCACCACGGAGGGAGGCTCCTCATAGAGAGAGCCTCACCACGGAGGGAGGCTCCTCATAGAGAGAGCCTCACCACGGAGGGAGGCTCCTCATAGAGAGAGCCTCACCACGGAGGGAGGCTCCTCATAGAGAGAGCCTCACCACGGAGGGCACCTCACCATGAAGGAAGGCTCACCATGAAGGGAGGCTCACCATGAAGGGAGGCTCACCATGGAGAGAGGCTCATCATGAAGGGAGGCTCACCATGGAGAGAGGCTCATCATGGAGGGAGGCTCACCATGGAGGGAGGCTCACCATGAAGGGAGGCTCACCATGAAGGAAGGCTCACCATGGAGAGAGGCTCATCATGGAGGGAGGCTCACTATGAAGGAAGGCTCACCATGAAGGGAGGCTCACCATGGAGAGAGGCTCACCATGGAGGGAGGCTCACCATGAAGGGAGGCTCACCATGGAGGGAGGCTCACCATGAAGGGAGGCTCACCATGGAGAGAGGCTCACCATGAAGGAAGGCTCACCATGAAGGGAGGCTCACCATGGAGAGAGGCTCATCATGGAGGGAGGCTCACTATGAAGGAAGGCTCACCATGGAGGGAGGCTCATCATGGAGGGAGGCTCATCATGGAGGGAGGCTCATCATGGAGGGAGGCTTACCATGGAGGGAGGCTCACCAGGGCATATCTTTAGGCTGTGCTCAGACATTAAAGCAGGTATGTTTTCCTTTAATAACTGGGTTTGGAGATGTGCTTCTCAGTTGTTGCTGCCCCTCAGAATCACCCAAACAGCCTTTGAAACAAGGGGTTTCCAGACTGTCACCCCTAGACTGTGGGATCTGCATCTCTGGGTGGGACCTGAACCCAGTTGCAACATTTTGTAAAAGCTGGCTAGGTGACTCTGACACAGACTGAGGATTCAGAACCAAATCTTTGAGGTATCTAGAGCAACCCCAGACTTGAACTTCTCAAGTTGTGACCTGTGAGCTAAAAATGGAAGTGTTCAGTCCTCACTGTCAAAACCATAGTTAAAAGGAGGAGCCTGGAAACTTCCCCAGGCTTTTGCTACTGTTGTTACAGTTAGCAGACTGAAAGCTGGAATTTTTCCTCTTGGGGATGCCTGCCATGTTGTGGGAGGACCACCCTAGAATGTCAAGGGCATGAATAAGGCAGTTGTATGTTTGGTGTAGGTAAGACTTCCCAGGAAGCAGAGACCAGTGTGTAAGAGTTAGATGGGCACTGGAGTGGCCTGGGCTCCTAAGCCATCCGGAGATTCCAACCACCTGGGTTAGAGAGGGGCTGGGGTCTTCTCAATGATTCAGAGTGGTGCAGAGGAAAGAACTGTGGTAGTAGATGATCATAAAACCAACAGCAGTGTGCTTTGTGAAATTCTGTCTGTTCGGTATTTGTTCTTGCCTGGTTATTACGATTACTCTGAGTTGAGACCCACATAGATGCTATAGATAACTGTAGCCATGGACCAGAACAGTACTTGACCCATTCCTGCCTGAGCCCTGCCGAGTACAGAGCACAAGGCTCCTGCTTCTGCTGATGTGCATATAGCTCTCACATCAGGGTTCCTGTGTGTAGGAAATACAGTTTCTGAGCCCTCCCCAGACCTAAATTTTTTTCCCAAATAGGGTACTGGTGCTGGTTGGGTAGAGAATGGTGATGTGGGCTTTTAGAGTTTCCCTGGGAGGTGTCAACTGTTTCTCCTGGTTGGCCATTTTGCCAGGGGCCTCAGATCTCCACTTCTTCCACATCCGCCTCCCACCTTGGGGAATTGTCAACACGCTGTTTGCCAACTGTGTTTGTTGAGGAGGAGCTGGGGTACATAACTTGATAAAAGGAGTCTGGGCAGTGCTGTGATTCCTGCCACTGGAGGTCTAGCTGCAGCTACAGAGAGAGTCAGATGTTTTTGGATGGTATCCAGGGGTACCCACCCACACTGGTATACTATGGAGACGTTCACTAAAGTGGGGAGGTGGGAGAGACCTGAAGCCCCATGAAGGACCCAGCCCTACAGGTCCTTGTGTTTCTGGTGCTGCCAGGAAGGCAGCTCCCTATAGTACATGCAGAGCCCTGCCAGCTCAGACCCTTGCCTCTTTGTCCCTGATTGGTTTGCAGCCCTCTACACCTGAATGCCCAGTGACCCATTGCCTGAGTTCAGGTTTGTGAGCAGGTGGGTACTGATAAGGACTGTTACTGGGCAGCCTGGGGTGGTATGGCTCTAGGTCAGGTGCCTTGAGTGGGGGTTGCTTTTGATGTTTGTGGCCACCTTATGATGGAGCTGCTATTGCTTGCTTTCCTTATAGATCAGGGGAAGGAAGTACTATAACTCGCTCCACAGGTGACATGTCAGTCATCTACCACTGTGTAACATGTTCCTAAACTGATTGTCTTAAGACATCTCCCAGTGTGTGGATCCAGGAATGACTGACTGGGTGGTCCTGGTTCAGGGCTTTGCAGGAGACTGTAGTCATGTCACTGACTGGGATTGCGGTCACCTGAAGGTGCAGCTGGGTGGAGACCTGCTTCTTCTGTTGCGCCCATGTGATA